GTGCAGGTGAAGGTGTGGGTGTACCCAGAGGGCACGAGGAACTGCACCGGGGACTTCCTGCCCTTCAAGAAAGGAGCGTTCCATCTCGCTATCCAGGCACAGGTAATGGTGCTGTGCCCCTGCTGGGGACCCTGGGAGTTCTGCAGTGGGTGTTGCACACTGGTCATGGTGTGGTTCACTTGCTCTCTAGTGAGTTGTTTCACAGCTGAGCTCCTCAGTTAAACCACCTTTAGGTGTCATAAGCACTGCCCAGCAGGAGCTGGGAGCCTTTTCCATCTCCTGCAGGAGTGACTTGGCCCCTGTGGATGGGTGGCTGCAGACAGTGGAGAAGCTGCCTTGTCCTCTCTGGGGACCACCCCAGCACTGCAGCCCTGGTGTCCCATCTGGAGGGCAGAGGTGGGGACAGGCACAGTTGTCTCCCTGGCTCTAGGCTTTAAAGGTGGCTGCCTGGCAGCGTGGGGTGCCGTGTCCATGCCCTGCTCCTGGGAGCACAGCACAGAGCTCCCTTCTGGCCAGGAGCCCAGCAAGCTCTTGGGGAACCCCAGAGCTGTTGATGCATTTCCCAATCCCCCAGGATGCAATAGTGTGGTGTTTGTTGATCCAGAGTTGTTAATGCTGGTGGTTTGGAGCAACACCTGGGCTTGTTCTGTGTGGAAATAGCTGCTCCCTTCCAGACAGCCTGATGGTACTTCTTTATGTCTTAAATGCCTTCTCGAAGATGACAAGATCTGGGAGTAGGCAAATTGCTCCTTGGCTGCTGGAGCTGTGGGTGCTCCTGGAGGTGGTACCTGCCTGGGCAGAGCTCCGGGGCACTGTGCCAGGGATGCTGAAGGCCTGGCAGTGCTGCCTGGGCCACCCTGCTCAGTTCCCAGTGCTGGGAACTGGGTGCCAGCGGGGAGATGGAGGGAATGGGTGCTTTACCTTCCCATGGCATCGTTTCTTGGGGCTGGGATGACCTCAGGCCTGAGGGGAAACTGCTTTCCCTAAGAGAGGTGTTACGGCAGGATCCTGGAGAAGGGGAGTAGGCGCCAGATCCGCTGGGTTCAGCTGGCCCAGCCCAGGGTGTAGCCTGCATCCTGCCATTCCTGCTGGGGTGATGCAACCGGGGCAGGGGCTGGCAGAAAGGAGACAGTGGAAAAAGCACCCACCTCTGACACTCCCCCTGAGTCATGGGCTGTGGATTGTGTCTGTTAGCACTGACTGTGCCCTCCTGGTGTGTCTGCCTCTCTGAACCTTCCCTGAGAGCAACTGGTGACCCTTTGTTCAGAAGCTGAAGGCGCACAAGCTGCCTGCCCCACTCGTGTGCCTGCACAGCAGGGCAAGGCCTGTCAGAACGGGCACCTTCCAAAGTCTGTGGCTCAGAAAATACCTGGGTTTGAAGCCTGCCCTGGGACTATTTGCCCAGAGAGCCAGTGCTGACCGGGGGCTGAAGTGTAACTTGGTCCTAGTGCCCAAATGTCCCCGTGCCTTGAGTTGCTGGGAGTGGTTTGAATCCCATTTGGTTCCTGACTGTCCCAGCCTTTGGGAGCGAGTCTTGCCTGTGGGACTGTGTGGTGCCCTCGGTGTCTGAGAGCTGGGCCAGGTCAGCTCTGCTGCTAATCTCTGGCCTGCCCTGGGCTGCTGCAGTGCAAGTAACTCCTGTTTTTCCTCTTCTTCCCCAAGGTCCCAGTGATCCCTGTGGTTTATTCCTCCTTCACCAGCTTCTATAACCCAAAGAAGAAACTATTTACATCAGGTACCAGAGCCTGAGGGTCTTTACAGTCACTCGAGGACAGGGTTGAAGCCATGCCCAGAGGAGACCTATGGGTGTGGGAGGGAAGCAGAGCTGGGCTGAGCAGGAGGAGTCCCTGTGGGACATGTGTGGAGCCAGTTCAAAGCTCTTGGCACCAGAACCTGGGCTGGGCTAACTCCAACAAACACGGGGGGATGTTTTGATTTAAAATGGGGCACCACCTCTCCTCGTAACTGGTGTGCATTCTCATAGGCTCTTCTTGTTCCCAGGCAAAATCAAGGTTGAGGTTCTGCCTCCAATCGAGACCAAAGGCCTGACATCAGATAATGTCTCTGACCTCACTGACAGATGTTATCACACCATGAGGGAGACCTTCTTCATGCTGTCGGGCCGTACAAGTGAGGCAAAGGACTCATCTTAGATGCTTCTCCAGTGGCGTTACCGTGTGGTGGTGGCTGAAGGGACCTGTCTGTTGCCAAATCCCGAAGGGACTTCCCTTCCTCTGCAGTGACTTGTCACGCCGGGACACCATGGACCAGCACACACGGGTGTCCAGCGAGCTCTGAGGTCCCCGTTGAGTGGATTTCTCTTATGAGTTCATTGTCTCCCAGTGAAACGTCTCCTTTCCCTGAATTTCTCAGGCATCAAACTTGTGCTACCAAAGGGCTCAATGACCAGAGAGGTGAGTTCCCCAGCTCCTGTGGGCTGACAAGGAGAGCCTGGCTGGAGGCTCAGGCTGGAGCTGGCCTGGCTGTCCCACAGGCAGCAGTCTGTGTCTGCATGACCTTGATGCTGCTCAACCAAGGCTGAGAATCGGGTGAAAATGCAGACTTTGGCTCTCAGCAGCGCAGGGAGCGGTGTCCTCCCTGGGCAACCAGCACGGTGGAGCTCACAGGGCGTCCCTGGGACAGGGCCTGTCTCCTGAGGATTGTCCTTGTGCCACAACAGTGTTTAGTGCTACGGCTCTGCGTTACTCCTGAGCGGAATCCTTCGCTTCTGAAGGAAGCACCAGGGCTGATATCCTCAGCTGGGGCTGCAGAGGGGAAGGTGTAGGGCTGCTCGGTCTCACAGTGTGTCTTCAGGCTTGATTGCCTTGTCTGAACCAAGTGCCCTTGTGCAGCAGTGGTGACCTGACCAAGCCAGATGTATGGTGTGGTACAGCCTTGCTGGTTTAGGCCTCTTCTGAGCGAAGCCCCATGCTTGTTTTCTGAGCAAAGCCCCATTCAGAGCCACCAGCTTGTATTTAAAACCTACAACTCTGTCAGCCCTGGGCAAACCTGTGCTCATGGTGACTTGTTTGTGCCGTGCTGGTGGCTCAGCCTGGTCCCAGCGGGTGTCCTGGTGTGTGGTACCTGCTGCAGATGCAGAGGGCTCTGTCCTGCTCTCTTTGCCACTTGTCATGGTCAGCGCTGGCCGAAAGATGGTGCCTGTCTCATGTCTTTGCTGATCTCAGTGGAGCTGCGGCTCTGCGGGGCTTGCAAAGCTCCTGCAAAGCCACGGGGAGGGTGAGCTGGAGCTGTGACCGCGTGCTGAAGGCTTCAGCTCTCCCTCTGGGGGAAACGGATCCTTTCCAGTTCACATAAAGGGATTTTCCCTGTGCTTTGGGGTGATGGAGCCTGCATCCCTTGCTGGGAGCCGCACAAGTGGTGATGCCCTCTGCAAAGAGCAAGGCTGGAGCAGGCCTGTGGTTGTGGGGTAACCTTCACCTGTAGCTTGGGTTCAGGGAGGCTTTTGCTCTCCTGTTCATGGTGCAGGGTGTGGAACTCTGAGACAAGCTGCCTGGGGCTGCTCAGGTAACCAATGCAGATGGCTTTTGCAGCCTGCATTGGTGGAATTGCAGTCATACGGCATTTGGGGGTTAAAGCCTCCACTGGGAAAGGCAGGGAATTCCTGTAACAGGGATCTGGGGCTGGGGGGGGCTTTATCAGAGGGGCCTTAACAAGTACAGACTCAGGGGTCAGACCCGCTGCAGCCGGGTCAGGGTGGGAGGATGGGGACTGAACCAGCACTTTGTAAGTGGCAGATAAGGGGCTGTCACGGAGGGTCCTGAGGGGAACGGTGTCCGCTGAGGGACCTGCAGCCTCCTCCCCAGGAGCAGGGAGCAGTGCCTCTGTGTGCAGTTTCTGCTGTTCACTTTAATTGGGGTGACAATGATATGTGCTTTAAAGAGAAAAAAAATACACCTTTGGTTATTTAAATAGAGTCCTGGTCGTGTGTGGGAGCTGGGGGAGGTGGGTTGCTGGGGGTGGAAGGGTGCTGACCCCCTGCTTTGTGCAGGGGGGTTTTGGTGACCGAGGGGTGGTCCCAGTGGGCAGAAGGGCTGATGTGCTGTGCCCCAGCCCCACCCCAAGCCATGGACCAGGAGGGACCTCTCCTGAGGAAGAGGAAGGTGGTGCCTGTGTGGATGGAGCTCTCCAATCCAGGCCCTGGAGGAAGCACCTTCCCTGGCAGTCAGGATCCCGCAGCATCAGTGCAGGCACAGGAGCCTGTATTTGGGTGCAATCCCTGCAGCTCTGCTCTGGGCAGGTAGGGGAGTGTGGTACCCGGTTGTTCATGTCTGCTCTGCTGTATGTGTCCCCCTGGGCTTGAGCAAACAGCGCTGTATGTGTGTGTGTGTGTGCCATGGGGCTGACAGCTGCTGTTGGGTCTGGGAGAGGCTGGCTCCGTCAACAGCCTGTGGTGCCAGTGTAAACACCTCGGTTCCCTGTCCAGGCCTGCAGGGAACTGTCCCTCCCTCCCTGTCCTCACCACGAGTGGCACAGGCTTGTCCCTGTCTGCTCTGTGCTGGCAATGGGAGTGACACAGGGAAAGGTGTTCTATTAAAACGGGTAAAACCAGCCCCTGTGCCTTGAGGTTACAGGTAGAAGCATCGCCCTTGTGTCCCTTTAGGGCACAAGGGAAGGGGCAGAGAACAGCGAGCAGGAGCAGGTAAGCTGAGGGCAAGCTGATACTGTGCCAAGAAGCGGTGACCAGGCCACCTCCAGTGCTTGAGGCTGGTCCCAGAGAGCAGAACAGAGGCCACGGGGATGGGCTCCTACTCCCTGTACCCCACCAGCGATTGGGTGCGCTCATCCCCTGCCGTGGTGCCTGGCTTGGGGCTGTCCCTCTGCACAACCCTTTGTGGCCACAGTCCCCCAACCACAGGACGTGTCCCCCGGTGTGCGGGCAGGAGCAGCTCTGTGCCCCTGGGCAGGCAGCACAACCCGCCCTGTGCCCAGCGTGGTGCTGAGTGAAGGGTGAAGCAGGGCACGGTGCAGCCTCCGGCACGGGCACACGGAAAGGGGTTTATTTTCCGCTCTTGCACAGGAAGGGGTGAGATGCTGAGGGTGCAGAGTCCAGTCTGGAAGTAACTGCATGACCTCTGCTGAGGTGAGCTGGGAGAGAGAATGGAGATGCTGCTGGGACACCAGCCCTCTCCTGCCACCCCGTGCTTTCCCGCAGGTGATGTGGCTTCGTCCCCAGCCTGGGGCTGGACAGCGAGGTCAGAGCTGTGGCTGCGCTCAGCTCGCTCCAGTTCCTCGGTGCTCGCTAGAGTTCATTCTTGCAGGAACCTGGGAAGAGGGGAGACAAGCGGCAGTGGTGTCAGCCTGGGGTGGGTTGGTCTCCTTCCTCACTGCTCCCCACTGCTGCGCTGGGGTCCTTCAGCCTCGGACAAGGCCTGACCTTGTGCCTTTGCTGGTGGTTTAAAAGAGGAAATGGGTTTTATTCCTTACACACATCCCCACTGGGCAGATAATGGGAGTGTGCAGTGGTGCCTCAGCTGCACAAGGCACAGAAAGCGTGGTCCTGAGCTCCATGGGATGCCCTGCAGGCCCCAGTGCTCGCTGGAGCACTAAGGGACAGTCCTGTGTCCTCCAGGGACTTTCAAGACCAGGAGAGGGACAAAACCAAGTTTTGCTTGCTGGGCCAGGCTTGGCAGAAGTTAATTCCAGGACCTGGGAGTCATCCCTTGGAATACATCCCTGTCGCCCTGTGATAGTGCTCGCATTCCTCGGCTGTCACTAATGGTATGTACGGGGCACTACTGGGAAGCTGGGTGTGCTGGAGCACTCACTGCTTCTGCTGATTGCCCCTCCCTGAGGTGGTTAAGTGGCTGTTTGCTGCCACTTGCTCTTCAAACAGGTTCTTTGAGGTCTTTTCTAGCTAAGCCATTACCGCAGGCAGTGACCTGGGACGGCTCTGCCCTGAAACGGTTTCCCCTCAAGTCTTTGCGAGCACCGGGCCTGGTTTCTGGGCTTGTTTGACTGCAGTTAATGGAGCTGCCTGTTGAAACAGTGGCCAAAGCAAAGCTGCAGAGAGCTCTGCACACACCTCGGGGCCATGCGGGGATGGGCAAGACCCCCGTCCTCAGCCCTTTCACCCACGACAGCTCTCACCAGGGGCTCTTCTTCAGAGTCTGCTACGTGGGGACCCTCCCTGGTCCACGGACTTCAAAGGGAAACATCTGAACCTTCCCAGGCTCGTAAATCTGCCTCCTTCTGCGCTCCCTGACCCTTCCTGATGGACTTGGGGGGCTGCTCATTTCCTCAGAGCTGGGGTTCCTCTCCTAAGGGCTGAGTTAGAGCAGCACAAGGAGGGAACAGCCGCCCGCCCCGTGCGGGACGCGACCACTGCTTCTGCCCCAGAGCTGCCTTCCCACATGCCAGCCTTGGGGCTGCCGGCTGCTATGGGGACAGTCAGATGGTGCAGCCACAGAACCAGCTCTGCAATGGAGCTAATGGGCTGCTTGTGTTCATCTGCTATTAATTACAGGCTGCTGAGCTTAGGGAGACATTGAGTGGCACATGTGTTCCTGATGGCGCTGGCCCACATCTGCTCCCCGGGGCCGGGGTGGAGCAGTGAGCCGCTCCAGCCCTGCTCCAGGCACTCACACGTCTCCAGGCGCTCCTCAAGGAAGGAGATCTGCTCGCTCAGGGACTCGATCCTGTCCAGCTGCTGCAGGGAGTGGGACAAGCGGCTGATGGGGTCTGCGCCGACGTCCTCGGGCACGGAAGGCATGAGGTTGTGGAAGGGGGCCAGCACCAACTGCAGCTTCTGTGGGGAGAAGGGAAGCCCTGAGCGTGTCCCCGTGGGGTGCAGCACCCACCAAACCACTCAGGAGCTTCGGTTGTGGTCAAAGGGCTGTGGGGCTGGAACCCCTGGAGCGCAGGGGGCATCCTGCAGCATCTGAGCCCAGGGGGAAGTTATAAATAGAGCCAGGATGGAGGGAAACCCCGGCTGCAGCAACCCGGGGGGGAGCAGGCTGAGTGTGGCCTCGAGCTGCTCCGGGGTGGTGAGGACATGGCAGGGAGGGTCCATGCTGCAGGTTTTACCTGCTCCAGTGCTTCCACTCTGCTCCTCAGCTCTTTCAGTTCTTCCTTCACTTCACTGGGGGGACCTGAGAAAGGGACCAGGAGAAGCTCAGTGAGTTCATGCCCGTTGCCTGCAGTGAAGGGGAAGGTGCTGGGCAGAGAACGCGCTGCAGAGCTCAGGCCAAGCTCTGGTGCCTTCCACTCCCCCTGTACTGAGCCCCTGGCATCAGTCCCTGGAGCATCATTCGGATGCACCGCCTGCTCCAAGCAGTGATCCAGGCCTGCTGCTCCCAGGCACAAGCCTCTGCTGGCTGCTGGGTACCTGCAACAAAGCGGGAAGTTTTCAGGCAATGGGGTGATGCTTAAAGGGCAGGACGTGGTGAAGCCCGGCCTTCCGTGCCTGCGTCAGAGCGGTCAGCACCAGGGTCTGCCCTGTGCAGGGGAGCCCTGCAGACGTGCCCTGCTCTCCTGGCGTGCGCTGCCTGTGCTGGCCCCGGCGCATTATTACTCACGGTACGAGTTTGAAGTGTCACAGCGCGTACCAAAAGTAATAATGGGCCGTCACCAGCGGCGCCGCTGCTCCTCGCGCTGTGGGAGGGATGGTGACGATGGTGATGGCGATGATGGTGATGGAAGGAACAGCCTCATCCGGGGCACCACAGCCCATGGCCAGGCTCCGTCAGCCTTGCAGAGAGGCAGAGGCTGGGTGTGTGTGCAGGGAGGTTGGTTGGCTGGCAGAGGTCACCAAGAATAAAGCTGAGGGGCTCTGGCTGCCGTCCCCTCTCCTGCTCCAGCTGCCCTGGGGTGCAGGGTGTTAATCCCAGCTCCCACTGAAAGGGGACGTTACCTGCGTGGCTGAAGGCTCCTGGCTCCGGCGCTGGCACCAGGGGCTGGCAGCTCTTGCGGTCAGCAGTGAGGCTGAAGCCGTCCCGGCAGGCGCACTGGAAGCTCCCAGCTGTGTTGAGGCAGAGTTGGCTGCACCCATGGCTCTGCCCGGCGCATTCATCCACGTCTGAAACCAGAGGTGCAGCTCAGGGCGCTGCTGGGTGTGAGGGCTCAGCCATGCACAGGGTTGGGGACACAGTGGGACAGACTGAGCTGGTGCTGGGTGCACCTCTGGGTGCTCTCAGCACTGCAGGGGCCGAGCGCAAGCCCCCCCCCAAACCCGGGGCAGCCTTTCCCCCTGCCCCAGGCCGGGGTAAACCTGTACTAACCCCAGTGGGACCCTTTGCCCTCAAAAGAGCCCAACCCGGGAGCTGTACCCGAGGCCCCAGCCCTGTGCCGGCAGCGCTCGGCTCTCATTTACGGCCGGGGTTTTGGCTGCAGGCGGCGTGCCGGGGAGCGGTGTGCGCAGAGCCCATGGCTGCTCCTCGCACGGGGCAGTTCCTGAAGCTGTTCCCACAGCGCCAGGGGAGCTGAGCCGCTTCCCACGCCCGGAGAAGCTGTTTTAGGCACTGGGAAAATGCTTCCCCCCCCCCCCGCCCCGCGCTGGAGCCGGGGCTGTCAGCGCTGAGCTCAGCCCAGCGTGCTCAATGCTGCCCGTTTCCCCGTCTCCTGGTGAGGAGCAGGGGCAGCCCTGGAGCTGGGTGCCTGCCGCTCCTCAGGCCCCCTTCCCCTCCACCCGGGGTGTTTGCAGTTCACAGGTTTGGTGTCTGCACCCAAGTGGGGTTTACGAAGCCTGGGAGATGGGTGGTGACAAACACACGTCTCAGGCCTCCCCCCAGTGCCAGGGCTGCTCGGCAGAGCCAAGCGGAGCCTGTGCTCGCACGGACCCCGCGCAGAGCAGCGCTGGGTGCCGGGGGTGACACACGGGGGCTGGGAGCCCTGGGGCAGCCAGAGGGAGGTCAGGGCTCCCCTGGGAGCTGAGCTTCCCATCCCTTCCTGGCCAGAGCACCCAGCGCCACTGCCCTGGAGCAGGATGTGGTGTGCAGAGGGCTCACACCCTGGTTCCCGCTGTGCTCTGAGCACCAGGCACGTGCTGGTCCCTGTCCTGCACCAAGGGCTGGGGGCTGAGGGCCTCTGGAGCCCCCCGGCCACCTTGGTGCCCCCAGCCCAGCCCAGCCCGTACCTGTCTGGCAGGCTCGTCCCGTCCAGCCGGGGGGGCAGATGCATCTGTCGGGGAGGGCGCAGGTGCCGCCGTGCTGGCACGGCCCCGAGCACAGAGCTGAGGGACAGAAAACAACCACAGCATCACCGACAGCACCCACCAGCCCCTGCGTCCAGCCTGGCCTTGAGCACTGCCAGGGATGGGGCAGCCACATCTCCTCTGGGCACCCTGTGCCAGCGCCTCAGCACCCTCACAGGGAAGAGCTTCTGCCTAAGAGCTCATCTCAGTCTCCCCTCTGGCAGGTTAAAGCCATTCCCCTTGGCCTGTCCCTCCATCCCTTGTCCAAAGCCCCTCTCCAGGTTTCCTGCAGCCCCTTTAGGCACTGGAGCTGCTCTAAGGTCTCCCCTTCAGGAGCCTTCCCTTCTTCAGGCTGAATCACCCAGCGCGCTCAGCCTGGCTCCATAGGAGAGCTGAATAAACAATAGAATGAACAGGACCTTGGGATGCAGCCTGGAGAAGGGCCAAAACACCTGCAGGCAGCACAGCAGGAGGGAGGATGGCTGATAGGCATGGGCTGGGGATGGACTGTCTGCTGACACGTTCTGCATCTGTTTTGTGCCTCCTGAAAGCATTTCTATTCCATTACTGCTGATTTGTATGGAAAGGACTTACTCATTTTATTTATCCTCTGGTAGAAAGGTAGTAAGTGATCCCAAAGGAAAAATGCCTGCGAGGCAGCAGGGGAAGGCAGGGAGTTAATCAGAAATTGAACAGCGTCTGGTTGTGATGCCAGAAATGTAAATGCTTTCCTTCAGAGACGCTCTACCTGAGGGGCAACGCTGGTAACCGAGGGAGGACCGCATCCAGGGCCATGAGCTGCCTGGCCCATGGGGCCTGAGGTAAGGATGAGCACAGGCAGCGGGGTGGCACAGCAGCATCTTACCTCTATTGCAGCCGAGTGCGTGTCCATCAGCTCTGCTCCAGCCGGGACAGCACGAGGCCACGGGCTGGGGCAGCTGCCTGTACACCTGCCGGTAGGCAACCCTGTAGATGGTCCTGCAAGGCAAGGATAGGGCTGAGCATCTCCCCCAAGCACCCATTCCCAGGGGCTGGGAGCCCCTTCCCCACGGATCAGGGCAGGATTCCCCCCCCCCCCAATCCAGGTTGGGGACCATGGTGCGGGCAGCATCCTCACCTGTACGTGCTGCAGAGGTGGCCCTGGCAGGTGGTGAGGTAGGGCTGGTACACGGGCTGCACGTGGGACTCGGTGGAGGCAACGGCACGGCTCCGTGGCCCCGTGGCGCAGACCCTGCGGCTGAGCAGAGCGGATGGGTCAGGCCCAGCGCACCCCTCCTGAGCTCACAGCATCCCCTCCTCTCTGAGCACCGTGGGCATGGCAGGGCCCGATCCCCCAGGGACCGGGAGGGGACCTCAGGCTTCAACCCTTGGGGATGCTCAGGCTCTTCCTCCCCTCGGCCCCATCCCAGGGGAGCCGCTGGAGCCGGGATCTAGGGGGGATCTACGCAGAGCAGTTCTTCCACCCATCGCCTCCCTGCCCCTGAAATCACTCACTTTAGGGGAGGACTTTTCCTTTGAGACTTTTGCATTCCACAAATGTGCTCACCAGGAGATGATTTCACAGGGAGGGTCAGGCCCACCGAGGAAAAGTAGAGACCAAAGAGAAGTCTCCCTGCAGCCTCCCTGAGGTAACAGTGATCTGCTCAAAACTGCCCCCAGGTTCACAGCCAAAGGGGTCTTGGTTATAGATTCCCTTTTTCCAGCATTTTCCAGCCCCGGCAGCTCAGTCCTGCTGAGGAGCTTCTCTGCTCGCCCCAGCCTCCCAGCCCAATTAGAGACAAATAAAAGCCTGGGAATTAGCATGGCCATCAGATGGCTTCTATTAACTCCAAAAGCTCCCCTCAGCCTCACTGTTGATGCTATAGAAGATGCAGGTTTTAAATGGCAATTGTTTGTTTGCAGATGGAGGATAAAGCTCCAGCTCAGGCTGTGCTTCAGCCACCACCAGAATGGAAAAGGTTTAACGCCAGAGGAGAGGGTTTCAGTGCAGAACCAAGCTCTGCAGACAACGAGCTGTGTCTGGGGTGGGCGTTGAGTTCCTGCTCCTTTTGGCCTGGGATGAAACCAGGCTCTGGGTTCCTTCTGACCTGGTGGGAATGGAGCTGGGCCTGCCCAGCTGTGCTGCGATCCAGGGCACTGAACTGGACCCCTGGCCCAGGAAGGGGAATCACTGGAGCTGCCAGCAGCATGCTCACAGAACCATGGACCACAGTGAGCAACAACCCACAGGGGCGTTCTGTGCCTGCACTGGGCATCCCCTGAGAGCTGGAATGCTGCATCCTCCCCCGATGGTTTGTTTGCAAGGCGATTGGTGTGACGGGGCTGCAGGGGTATTTCTGCACAAGGATGCGCTTGAAAGAGGCAATAACAACTCATGGACAGCTCAGGGCCTGATGGGGGCACACACGGGAGGTGCAGGCAGAGAGGGGCTTACCCTGCCCGGGCCAGCCCGGCCACGCTGAGGGCGAGGAGGAGTCCGAGGAGGAGGCAGCCGCCGCGGGGCATGTCCCGGTCCTGCCGCCGCGCCCCGGGCTGCGCGGAACCCCCCAGGCTGGCTCCGGTGGGAAGCGCTGGCTCCTACCGCATGTCGGGTCCTTCAGCGGGGATCCCTGCGGAGAGACCAGAGCAGGGTGAGCACGCAGCATCCATCCCACTGGACACATCCGACGGGGAGCCGCTCGGGGTCAGAGCCATGGCGCCGGGTGGACACAGGAGGGCTGGGGCAGAAGCATGCTTGCTGGCGTCATGTGCCACAGCACAGGGCCATTGCCGGGTTGAACCCCAGCGGGTGGGCGCTCCCCCAGGACAAACCCGCTTTGCCCCACGCGTTTAAGCCGTGGCAGTGCTTCACCCTTGGGCACACCAGGCTCAGCACACAGGGGATGCTCTCATGGCACCAGGGGCCATGCTGCTGCTTGTCGGGTGGCAGGGAGGGGACCTGTGCCACATGAAACACGCTGCCAACTCCAGGCAGCGAGGGCAAAACAATGGCCCCCAATTTCTTAATCCATAGAGCATTGTAGAGCTGCGTTTTCCCACCACAACACTGAAATCTGATCTTCTCTTTAAAATACAAGCTCTCGCCAGAGAAAAGTGCTGTGAGGGGCAAATGTACCGTCTGCAGAGCCAGCACTGACCGAGTCACACATAGAGAGGCTTTGATTCTCTAGCAGAGGACACATGAAACAAGGCTGAAGAAGGTCACAATATCCAATTTAAACAGTATCCAGTTTAAACAATACCCAATTTAAACAGTATCCAGTTTAAACAATACCCAATTTAAACAGTATCTAACTTAAACAATACTCTTGGCCTCCGGATGGCAGCAGTTACAACCCACCTTAAAGATACCCCAGTTAAAGAAAGAATCAATCTTTCTGATTAAACCTTGAGGAAGGAGCAGCTTCACAGGGAGGCCACACAAGACGCATCCTCTGCGACTGGAAATACGGAGAGCTGCACATAAGCTGTATGAAATCCCTCGATGATATGAGGGGGATTAGACTGGAGAGCTGCAGGCTCATTCCCAAACTCTTCTGGGACAATTCCTAACTCCAAGGCACGTTGTTAGGAATAACCATCCCAAACCTGCTGACCCAGCAGTTCCCAAAGCCCTTCTCCTGAGCACTCAGAATCATCTTTTCCTTCATGCAGGTGGAGAAACTGAGGCATGGAGAGAAAGCAGCCTTCCTGCCCCCTAATACCACATGCTTTGAGCACGTGTCCATGATGATGGTGCTGAGCAAGGGGGTCACTGGCTGAGCTGCCCCTCCCCTCCCTGCTCCATCCCTGAGTGGAGCACACGGCTCTGCCTGGCTGAGCAACAGGCTTTGTGTCACAGCAATTCAACCGGTTTGCTATAAAACACCATCGGACCCTCATCCAGACCCTGAATTCAGCAGCACTGCAAAGGCTGAGCCTCTGGCTCCAGGACAGGAGGGACAAACACATCCCCACCCCATCCTATAGCCCCGTGAGCTATTCCCATGGAGCACAGCCCAGCAGGGAACCGCTGATGCCCAGACCCACAGTAACCACCCTAGCTTCAAGCCCAGCTTTGAGGCTGTGAGGAGGATTTCGGTGATCCAAAGCCTCCATTCCTCTCCAACACAGCAATAAATTCAGTCTTTAGTGGCTGATCTATGGTACCTCCATCGGGAGATCAAATCTTGGGTGGCCTGCAGGGGACACAGTGAAGAAACCTCCTTTCTCCCCAGTCTTCCCCAAGACACCCCAGGGCACCGGAGTGCTCCTCACTGCTCGCTCAGCCTCTGTTTCCAGGGCTATCCTGGGACCTTTCCCTCACAGCCCCACATCCCCATCCCGGTGCTCCTGCTCCAGCTGCAGCTGCTGCCAACCAACTCCAGCCTCCCACAGGATTCCCGCAGCTGCTGCGGGAGTTTCCCTGTGGGCAAGGCAAGAAACGCGGGGCACAAGCCTAAAACAGAGTTTGTTGTTTCACTCAAGAGCAGCGCTGCCCCACCACGAGCGGTCAGAGCATCCCTCCGGGTCCCACAGCGGCCCTCATAGCAGCAGTTGTTCCAAAAGCAGAAAATCTGATACTCTCCACTCGATTTGTAACGAGTTGATGAAAATCAGCCTCTTTAAAGCCGCGGAGGATGCCCCAGCCTCTTGCCACCACCTATTCTAATCCTCCTCTTTCAAAGCACAAAAGGAAAAGCTTTTCATGCTCAAGAAGGATAGAGAGTTTTGTCGTTCTGTCACTGCCTTTCTAAGTCTCTCGAATGAAGAGGTGAAGCCCCGTGCTCTGGCAAGTGAAGCCGTGTGGGTGCATCTGAGCTTCTGCTGTTTCAGGGGCGCTGCCCCAATGAGTTTGGAGCCCTTCACAGCCGGAAACATTCCCATAACTCTCCCAAGCCGGCTCTTGCCACAGCAACCACGGGAAAATCCAGCCCAGCGAGTGGGTTTGTCCAGGTCTGCCCATGAAACCAAGGCTAAACCCCAGCTGATGCCGCAGCAGGAATCAGGGTCTGCCTGCAAAGTGGAGCAAGAGAACCCAGTCCCTCAGGAGGATGAAATCATCCCTATGGGAACGCCACAGCTGCACCTTTCCAAGCCTCCTAGCCTGGTTCTGCAGGTGAAACCGCTGCTCCTAACTGCGCGTGGACCTGCCCTGGGAGCCAAACCCCCCCCCGGAGGGGGATTTTCCCTGCTGCACGCCTCCCGCTGCTCTCTGTGCTGGCTGGGACGCGGGTGCAGGACGGAGCGAGGACGGGGACTCTGCAGCGGGGCGCAGGACACGGGTATCCCGGGGGGGGGCTGAAGGGATCAGGGTATCCCGGGGGGGGGCTGCAGGGATCAGGGTATCCCGGGGGGGGGCTGCAGGGATCAGGGTATCCCGGGGGGGCTGCAGGGATCAGGGTATCCCGGGGGGTGTGGAGAGTGCAGGACGCGGGTGCCCGGGGGTGGATGCAGGGATGGGGGTACCCCGGATACCGCGGCCCCGTTGCGGGGCTGCTCCCCTCTTCCCGAGCAGACCGAACCCGGTCTCCAGGGGCTCCCCCCCCCCCCCCCCCGCCGGCCGGGCGGGCTCTTCCCGCAGCCCCGCCGCAGCCCCCCCATCCCCTCCCCTCCCGCGCTGCCGCAGCGAGTCCCAGTCCCGGGCCCGCTCCGCCAAACGCCGCCCCGCGCCCGTCCCGTCCCGTCCCTCCCCGCCGGAGGATGCGGCCGCCGGGACTCACCGGTGCCGGAGCCGGAGCCGGAGTCACCGCCGCGCCGCGGCCCCCGCGCGTTTCCTCCCCCGGCCCGAGCCGGTCCCTCCGCCCCGGCCCAATGAGCTCAGGCGGGAGGAAAACGGAGCCTCCGGCCGGGGGGAAGCGCCGGGGCCAGGGGAGCCTCCGCCTGCCCCCGCCCCGCCGGCCCCGACAGCCGCCACCTGCCCCCGGAGGGGAACACGGACCCGGGGACACGGCGGGACCCCCGGGAAGCTGGGTCCTTTGGGGGGGCCGGGGGGAGCATGCAGGGACAAAGCGGGATCCCCTCCGGGGGAGCCTGGCACTGGTGCTGTGCCCCGTGTGCTGCCGCTGCGGAGCTTATCCCGATGGAGATGGGGGTTATGGGGGAGCCCGGACCCTGCACTGATCCGGAGCCTCACCTGCGGAGTCCTTAGAGCAGGCTGAGCCCCACAGCCTCTGCCTGCCCCACACTGTGGGGACACGAGGTCCCTCCCCCGCAGAGCAGCTCGCTTGGGTGGGCTGGGGATTAATGGCAAGAGAGGGAGATCCCAGCACAGCCCCTGGCCCAGGGTGAAATGGTCCCTCACCAGTGGCCAGGGTGAATTCATTTCTCTCTGCTGAAAACCGCTATAGCTGGGTCTGCACCCCCAGGAGGACAGATAATTCCAAGAGGAGCCATCACCCTTCCCTAGGTTAGAGACCTAACACCGCCCTGGTCCACACACAGCCCCCCATGCCCCGTTAATCCCCCTGAGCTCATTACAACAGCAAAGTCCTCCGGGAGCAGGCGATGAAGTGCCAGGACAGGGAGGCTGGTTCCCAGCAAGCCCCCAGGGATGCTGAAAGGATTCCTTGGGCGTTATCAAAGCAAACTGTGCAGCTCGGGTTGTGCCAAGCTGCCACTTGTTTTGTCTGCAGCTTGCTCTGGGAAATGAGAGCCAGAGGATTATTGTTTCTGCAGTGGCTCAGGCGCCTGCCCATGCACAGACCCAGCCTCGGGGATGGCAGGGGGCTGCTGAGCAGATGAATGGCAGGATACAGCCCCCGGGAATATTTGTTCCCATTAAGCTTTGCAATTATATTTTGAAAGCGTGTAGGCATGTAAAGGAAATATTTACCAGTTACACAATGGCTCCAAAGGAGCAACCGGGACCTGGCCCATCCCTCCTATTTCCGCAAGGATACGCTGAGGCTGTTGATTGAGCTGGAGCTGCACCTTCCAGGGAAGCTGATGGGTGCTCGATGTGTGGGGTGCTGGATGGACCCGTGTACACAGAGTATAAACTGCTTTGGTGAGCTGCTCCCTGAGGAAGGGAGCGGGATCAGCGCTAGAATGTGCTGGGGAAGGTGGAGCTCCAGAAGCACATGGAGATGGGATCCCCCAGCAGCACAGGAAAGGCTTCTGGTGCTGGTGGAAGCGCAGCTCCACGTCCCACAGCATCTCAGAGGGCACAAGCAGGTTTGCTCCCTCTCTGGATCCAGCCCACCTCTAGGGAATGTTTTCAGCTCAATCTCACGAGCACAAAGCCCAGGCAACTTTTCCCCAGAGCCTTGAGAGGTTGGCAATTACCTCATTGCACAGAGTGTGATTGTGTTCTGTGCTGCATGGGGGAGATGATGCTCAACTCGCCTAATAACTGCAAAGTGCACTTGGAAACCAATGGAAAGCTTTTGTCTGACCACACTGAAAGCACAGGATTAGATCTCGCAGACAAGGCACTCACCTCATCCGCTGTGCTCCATCATTTGTCCTGGGCACGGGTCCTTTCCTTATGGAGCATCTCGGTTTCTTACTGTGAGAACAGAAAACGGTGTTACACTCCCCTGGTCATGCAGGCAGAGATCAGTGACCAGCCCCTGCCCACAGTGAGGGGCTCCCCCGATGCTCCCCAACGCCCTTGTGGGGTGGAGTGGAGGATGAAAGCAGGATCGTGGCCACAGGGTTCTTGTGTCTGGCACTGAGCCCACTGCACAAACCCTCACTGGTGCATGGGTCAGCACTGTAGTGCCGGTGGTAGGGCCCGGGGACACCGTCCCTTCCCTGCTGCACAGGGCAGGATGCGCAGCGGGTGTATAGGAGCATCCTCCTCTCTCTCACACGAGCTTGCAATGGAGGTCACACTAAGGCTGGGATTTTCCAGGAACCCAAGGAAACGGGATGCCCCGTTCCTGCTGACACTGTCCCGGGTGTATACAAGTTCCCCACTGCCCAGGTGACCCTTGCACGAGTGTCAAGTCAATGGTGAGAAGGGGGTGGACTCACCCCCAGCACCCCTCATGCACTCATCTTTCAGCTCCTTGCGGGACACTGACACCCATCACAGGACTAAGCACATCGCCTTTCGGGGTCCCCATTAGAGCCTCCTCAGCCATCAGGCAATTGTTCCCCAAATGCATCGCAGCATCTCCACACTGCAAGTACTTTCATCACAAAATGTTTGCTTTTCAGTTCCGTTTACTGGGTCAAGCCTTTGCTCAAGCAAGTGCCTGTGCCAGCTGCTTAAGGACGGCATATAGCCCGTTAAAAGAGCATTTAATCCTCCTAAGGAGGGTTCAATGTCTTATATGCTAATATCCATGGTGGTGGGAGGGAATCCCCCAGGACACAGCCTGGCAAAGCTCCCCTGGAAGCAGAGGGGTTGCACCAGTGCAGGGGGAGAGGATCAGGCCTGTTGGCTCTGTCAGGACCGGTGTGATGGGTGTCTGACAGCGGCAGTCACAGGCTTTGGCTCCTGCCAGCGAGTGTCTGAATGTGAAGTGCTCGCTGGGCTGGAGCCTTCCCATGTTTCCTGCAGCGCTCCCCCCTTGCACACCAGAAGCGTGCTCCCACGGTATCTCATATTAATGCTTGTCTCCAAGCCAAGAGTGAAATATTTCTGCCCATCCTCCCTCTTTGATTTAGCAATGTCAAAAGCTCCTTGTCTCCCACTGCTTTTACCACCAATGTGAGCTCTGAGGCTTGCTGAGCGCTGGCCAAGGCACGGGGCTGGCTCTGGGTGAGGGTTTCACCCACCTCCCCATTCCCTAGAGCCCATGAGGGGGCTGGAACTCAACTTTGGTCTGGTTTTGTAGGCATGAGAAAGGAATGATTAACAGAGGAGAATTAATGGGAGATCAGTGCTCAGGTCCCACAACAGGAGCCCTCTCTTCAGGGAGGAGTGCTCACAGCCCATGGCAGCAATGGGACGTGCCCGAGCACACGAGTGCTTCCCCAAGCTGGGGCCGTGTCTGCAGCGGTGGCAGATGGAGACAGACGGATGGGGACAGACAGAAGAGTGACACACATACAGATGCAAAGCTGTGCCGCTGCTTCCAGCCACGGCTGCCCCCATCCCTGCTGTGTACAATGGGCTCTCGCTGGCCTCTGCAGGAGGCTTGCACAGAGCTGGAAGCACTTGCTAAAGCAATAGGAATTTGTGGTGCTTCTGAAGAGAGGGGGAATGGCTTTTCCTGGGCTAGGACAAACTGCTCTTCATAAGGCTCTTTGTAAACTTGATGCTTATGCGTAGGCTTTGGAGCAGCCCGCTCTGCAGAGCTCCATGAGGAAAATGACCTCCCGCTACTCCATTACGCCCCATATTGTTCTGGGTTGCGTCAGCTGCAGACCAGTCATCTCAGTGGAAATCTAGAGGAGCCCACTGATGTCAGTGGGATCAAAGCAGGTCAAACCAAGAGGAGTACTTGGCCCATAGGGCTCGCTCTGTCGTCACCACTTGCCCAGAGCTATGCATAATCGTGACCGAGATTTGAGTCCCACAAAGGGACTCTTTTTGCCTGAGTAAGAACTTTGCAAGCATTAAGCATGTTGAGGACATCAGAACTTAAGGCGACCATAGAGACATAGACATAGAGCTGCAGCTGTGCAACACTGAATGTATGAACAGGGCAATGTCCTGTAGCCACGTTTATTCTCCCTTCTGTGCACACAGATGAGTTCCTATCTACATTTAGAGGAGGCAGCGATGACTGCCGTGTGAAAGCTGGGAAATGATTCATCTCACCCAGGAATAAACTGAATTCTGAGGCTTTCTGTGAAATCTCCCTGGCAAAAGTGGTGTTAGTCAGCAGGGAACGGTCCCCACACTGCTGCTCCCTCTGTGTCCTTCCCTGGGGAGCGTGGTGGGGATTGCAGTGGGCTGCATGCACAGCTCCATCCCTTCACCGCAGCCATCGCAGCGAGCAGCTCAGGAGAGCGATTCGCACAGGGCTGGGTTTTGCTCTGATTTTCCTTCTCTATCAGGAGAGAGCTCCAGAAACCTGCACTAATTGGAGCTGCTCTGCAGCCACCTCCCCAGCTACGGCCAGGACAGGAACCCAAGCAAGGACAGAGCGAAACCACACTTGTGACCACCCTGTTCTGCTGCAGAGACCCTTTCCTTAGTTAAAAGCTCAGCCTCCCCCCGCGTTCCTCCCTTCTGCTGCTGCTGGGACCGAGTCGGGGTCGTGCGCTCTCATTTGCTGAGGTTTGTAAATCTGTCTACCCTGAGCAGCCCCATCTGCAGCAGCAGAGGCTGGGAAATGGCTCAGGCGAGCCTGCGGCCCGTGTTCAATTTCTCTTCCTTACCTCTCGGGAAGCTTGTGCCGAGCTGGTGGCTTCACAGCATGGAGGGGACTGACTCAATCGGCAGAATGAATGCTGGGTCACAGGGAAGAGCATTCAGAACGTGCCAGGGCAGACTCTGTGTTTGCTGCTGTTACCCAGAGCAGAGACAGCTCAGGGTCCAGCCACTGCATCTGGGCATCTGTCTCTCCCAGCTTCCCAAGCAGCGGCAGAGCTTCCCAATCTGTTTGTAAATCACTTTTACTGCTGACAAAGCCGTGTTATTTCTTATGTTTGATTCTCTGCCCAGGGAATTGATTTGGTGGATGTTAGACCCTGGGAAGAAGTACGCTGGGTTATTTCTATCGAGACCCATACACCGCTGTGGTCCTACTCTGTGCAGCCAGACATGCCTGGGCATCCCAGCTGCTGCTATCCATGGCCAGCCTTTTATCCCTCAAAACCCCAGATCCTGGACTGAAAGCCTCTTGCCTGCACTGTGCAATGACACAGACCAGGACGGCAGGACCCACAGGTGGCTGAAAGCAGAGAGCAGGCTCACAGTCCCATGGCTGTGAATGTGAGAGGCTTTGCCCAGCTCCTGGCACGCACGGGCACACTCTAAGCTTGGCCATTAGCCAGGGTGAGCACAGGTCTGCGTGACAGCAGCGATGGTCCCTGCCCGTAGCACCGTGTCCTGCCTGCAGCACCGCATCCTGCCTGCATCCTGCCCGCATCCAGGGGCTGAACTCTGTTGCAGAGCAACCTGAAATCAGCAGCATCGCGGCTTCGGATCCTGCCGTGTGGAGGGGAGAGCACAGGCAGGAGAGCGCAGGCAGGACGAACAACGTGGTGTTGCACCAGAGATTTCAGACAGATGGAAAAAGAATGAGTTACGGAAAGAAAAGGGATTTGCTCAGAATTTCCAGCTATCTCACAGGTATTTTGCAAGTGTTTGCCGCTTTCCTCTACACGCACAGAGGTGAAAACGACCCCCTGAGTTCTCCACTCCTGGAAAGCAGCCTGAGTGCCAGGGGACTGTTAACCTAAGTGCCGCAGGCTGGGCTCTGCTCCGAGCAAACCACCGCTGGAGACGCTCCCCGGCTCAGCACGTGCGAGGCTCACACAGCCTCAGCCGAAGGATGCTTGAAAACCCCTTTTGCTTCAGCAGCCCTTTGCCACTGCTGTGTGTTCAGCCGGCTCCCCGGGCTCCTAATGTTGTACCTGCCTGAGCAGGGGCAAAATCCCACTCAGAGCCCTGGTGAGGACACACTCCCATTGCCCCCAGCACCAGCCGCCCATCCCATCCCATCCCATCCCATCCCATCCCATCCCATCCCACCCCATCCACCCCGTCCCCGCTGCGGTGATGGCCGCGGCTCGTTGGGTACCTGCGGGGTGCCGCCATCGCCCGCTGTGCCGGGATCAGCCCCGCTGCCACCGCCGCGCTTCCCGGTGCCTCCCGGCGGCCGTCCCTGCCCGGCTGCCCCGGGTGCTGCGGGCCTGGGCAGCCGCCTCGTGCCATGGCCACGCACAGGCAGGAGGTGGCTGCCGAGGTGGGAAAGGGCGGCTTTTTATGCTTTTCTTCCTGTATAAATCAGGCCGGGGATGGACAATCCCAGACAGGACTTCCTGTGTGTGTTGTGCTCTGATAACGGGCTCCGCGAGGAGAACAAACACGGCCGGAGGGGGAGAGGGGCCGCGGGGCGGCTCCCCCACACCGTGCACATGGGGACGGCCACGGCATGGAGAGGAGGCAGCCGTGTGTCCCTGGGGACATCTCCCTCCAGCCCCCCCCCCCCCGCCCGCCTGCCCCACTGCCGTGGGGCACGTTCTGCAGCCCCACCCCAGGCGCTTCTCCTTCCATGTCAAAGGGTGGATGGGGGCCATTGGGGACCCCCAGGCACGGTAGGGCTGCAGGTATCTTCTCAAGAGGGGCTGTGTTGGTGTTAGGCACCAGATCCGGGGTATTTGTGACCCCCTGAAGTTTGGGTCACAGCACAGCGGTCAGCCAGCTTGCTGGGTGGCTTCTCACCCCCATCACACTGTCCCTGCATTGGGAAAGATCAAGGTACATGCAGTTTGGGCCACTAAACCTGCGGAACATCACCCAGCAGAGGTGGTAGGACATCACCCAGTGCTGGGCAGCAGAGAGATGTGGAGACAGCTGCCCCAGTGCCCTGATTTTGAAGGCTATTCTGCTGCAAAGCTGATCGTGATTTCAGGGTTAATATATGTGTATGTGTGCCCTTGGTTCTGGCTGGCCAGAGGGGGAATGGTACACTTCTTAATGGGAATGTGACTGATCCAACCATGCTATGAAGAGAGACGTTCTGGAACATGAGGGCTGCGGTGCTCGCAACTATTTCTCTGTTCTCTCAGAGGATGCAATCACAGAATCATGGAGTCTGAAAAAGACTAAGATCAAGTGCAACCATTCCCCAGCACTGCCAAGACCAGCACTAAACCGTGTCCTCAGGCTGACAACAAGCAGCCCTATGGCTGCCAGGCTGTCACCGCCTGCTGCTGCTGCCGCCATTGAGACCCCACAGCATCCCTGCCCAGGCAGTGTGCAGGGTGTGGGTCTGGGACACGTCATCCAGGGCTCCCCTGCAGCACAGCTGCATCCCCAGCCCATACCACGCACTCCCGGGCGGTTGTGCGCAGGCTTACGGCGAGCAGAGGATTACTCCCACCCTTATTCAGCAAAATATTACACGGGGCCATCCCCTGGGAGCTGCAGAATATTCCTGTGTTTATTTATATAAATGCATGGCTAAAGCAAGCCCCCCCGTGTTTTCCTTGGCAGACAGGGTTTAAAGGCTGCTGCCGCCCATTGCTCTTCCCAGCAATAGGTGACCATGTACTGCGAGCACTGCTGGCTGATGGGCTCCCCGGGAGTGAGACTGTCCAGGGGAGGCTCTTCCAGGCAAAAGAGCGTGTTTGTGCTCCGCTGTGCGTGAAACACTGTGTGTCTGTGGGCACAGGCTGCGTTAACCTCTAGGGAGAGCCTATCTATCTCTATCTGGTTTTCAGCTCGAAGTTCTAAGCAGCAGCTCCCTATGGAAAGTTACAGGGCTTGCATGGACAGCACACGGCAAAGAGGCAGCAATGGGTGCTCCTTTCAGATCAGAGGTGCTGGACACTGGAAACTCAGGTCCAGAGCTGGGAGCTTTCACCATCATCAGCAGACACAGAGGCTCAGTCCTGCAATGTACAGAGCCTGCACGAAGGCTCCTAACGTCCGCCCCCAAGCCTGAAGCCTATGGACTTTGAGGAAAACCCCAGACCCAGTTTCAGTTGCAGCAACCACCACTTGGCCCTTGTGCTATCTCTCCTGTGTCCTCTGCCCAGGATGAGCACAGGTCATGGTGCATGACTGGGACATCGGCCACCAACAACGTGATGCTGAGCATGGAGCAGGACTGCTCTGGCCTCAGCAGCGGAGCCACAGGAGTGAAATGGGATGTGTGGAAAAGGCTTCCTGTTTACCCAGTGTTTAGCACCTTCAGCAGTGGCTGCCGAGCGGGAAGTGGTCTATATGAATGGATAGTTTTAAATCTGAAATCATGACACTTCATCCTGCAGAGCCGCTGCATGATCCTCCTGTGGACGTCGGTGCTGGGAATACTTGGGTGCCAGCCAAGGGTTAGTTATGGTGTGTGCGAGGGAGGGACCAGAGGCTTGGTGCCACACACCTCGCCATGCGTGGCCACACAGCCCTGCCTCTGCCTGTACCTCCCTGTGGTCCCCAACCCCCTGCTCCACCACTGCAGCATTCCAGGCCGCTCAGGCGTGAATTGAGGAGGGGGATGGCAGGGAGGGGGCTTTAGCACCTCATTAGCACCAGCCAATTAGTGTGGGATCCTGCCCTCCTGTCAGCTGATGTGGCTGCTGCTGAATCCCCCCTGCCCACACGGGTCTCTTTGAGGCCAGGTCTATTTTATGATCCCCTTTCCCCCGATTAAAAAAAGCATTATTGTTAAAGCAAACCCTCGCCACTGAAGTTCCTGCGGCACACGATGGCTGGTTTGGGAAGGGGCTTTGGAATACCTGCCTCTTCCAAGGTCTTTCCCTGTGTTTCAGCTTGCCCAAGGAGTTTTGTGTCTCCAGATTTGCTCTCATGGTTAAGTGCTCGTTTTATCTCTGACAGTAAGAGTCAGAGAGACTCCTGGCTTTCAACACTTGGGAAGCACCATGAACAGCATCCAGGATGGCTGGATGTGCCATTGACACTGCCAGGAGCGGAGGCTGCCAATGCCACTGGAGAAAGTCAGCTTGGGCCCACTTTGGGCAAAGACCTCCTATTTGCTCAGGTCTCTACTCAGGTGTCTCCACTTTCGCAATAAACCCACCTTTCAAGGTGTCCTGGCCCCACAGGGCCTCCTCCCTCCCATTGGTACAAGAAGCTGCTCATTAGCACCAAAGGCTGGTTGCTACCAATTTGTTAATGAGATGCTCATCCTGTTGCACAAGGAGCTGGGGTTGTGATGACCGAAGGCTGGAGGCTGACCTCTATAATGCTGACTTTAAGTAGTGCTTCCTGCAGAAGGCTGCAGGTTCTTCCAGGTCGTCTTTAACATGGAAATAGGCCAAAGCAAAGGCTACGTGCGGGGGACAGCCCGGCCAGGGAAGTGCTCCTATTGTGGGCAATGCCTGAGTACGTGCTTGAAGCCCGGCACGTGCTCCTGTGCTGTGTCCGTGGTGCAGGGAACCTCTCACTCTTGCTCTTGACCAAGAGTTCAGGCAAAGCCTGATAAGAAAGGGGGAGAAAGTGAGGGAGACAGGGAGCAGGCACTAAACATTGTGCAGGCCGGTGTCTAGCACACAGGCAGCAAACCTGGGCTGGGGGATGAACTGCCCTTCTCTGCAGCCTGGGGTACCACGGACCCTGCGCAGCCAAGGCTGGGGACGTGGCCCTGGTGCTGCTGTTGTGATAGCACCGGGGACAGGGATGGGAGAAAGCCCAGAGCCTCTCTTCTGCTAAGCCAGCTTGGTAAAGGGCTGCTTTATCTCCCCTGTGCTGTGAGATAAGGTTCCAGTGTTGTCCTGTCCGAGCAGCTTTGTTTCCCTCACAGATACCTCTTGCTGCAGAAAGGTATCAGGCACTCAGAAAATATTTGAGCAAGACCGTATCTTTCTGAAAGCTGTGTGCAATGGAAAGACACACAGAGAGGGTCAGAGCCACACTGCGGGGGGCTCGGTGCCTCCTTGTCCATGCAAGGACAAAGCACATCCCCTCCGCTTGCAGGACTGAGCTGTGAGGGCCTCTCTCATTGCAATGCATTATCACAGGCCGAATAGGGACCTGAGTGCCTGGTCTCCTTGTTGGGCTGGGAAACCTGTGTCCCCCCAGTGCAAGGTAAGACGAGATGGGGTCCCAGCGCATCCCTGGTGCCTCCCCTCCAGCACAGAGAGATGGGAAAACATTTTCCACTGCCAAAATGTCACTCAGTCAACCCAGCTGCCTCTCCCCTGCACCGGGAGCATCAATACAGATGGACACATTTACAATCATTCTGCTCTGTTTATTATCCTTCAAGCAGAGCTCAAACCCTAAATGCAGAACTTTCCTTCCAGCAAAGATCCAAGATAGGCCTTTTGAGTCCTCCCCGCAAAGTAACTCTCAGTATGGACCAGCACAGACCTGCCTTCATGCCGAGGATGCAAAAACAGCTTCTCCCTGCTTCAAAGCTTAATGGATGCTGCTTTGGTGCTACAGGAACATCTTGAGAGCTAATCAAGATTAGCATGTGTTTTAAAGAGTCGGTGAGAACCATCTCACTGCAACAAGCCACATATCCCTGGCCTACGTGTTTGAAAAGCATGAGCTGGATTTCTCCGGGATGATTTATCACTATCAGTTCAGCTCCTCTCTTTGTTCTCTGCCCTGCCCTACAAGGGGTTTCGAAAACCTTCACTGTTTATTTCCATGAAATCCTTGTGCAGTACTCGGTGTGCTGGAAAATGCACTCAAAGGGCCGGTTCTGATCCCACTGCATGGGACTAACTCCAGAGGAGGTCTCCATGGAGAGGACCAGAAGAACGGGCAGGATGTTACAGCAGTGGTGCTCTACAGAAATGATTCAGACAAATACCATGCAGCTGACCCGAGCTCACATCTGTAATAAAGCTAAGGCGGCATGCAATAGCAAACTGCCTCCCCATTCGTGGATCTGATACCCTGGCTTCAAAGTCCTACCCAGGAAACTTCCTCGGCTTTTCTGCTGACTTCACTGGGTTTCAGCGGCATAATAGAGAAGTGGAATTGAGCCTGAAAGCCAGACAGCGAATGCAGAAGTCAGGGCTTAGGAAAAAGCTACAAAAAAGGAACTGGACGTGTCTCTCCTCCGACACGTCGCAGGGCATCAGAACGGCCCCTGCCTTTATTGCCTTTATCACTTATCTCCACGCGGGGAAGAGGAAATTCCCAAGAACGCACGATCCTCACAAATATT